GGGGATTTTTAATTGTTGATGGGGTTTCTGATTTTAACTGTGAGCCACCCAGAGTCACCTGTTGGGGGGAGATGGGCGGCATACAAATTAAATAGTCAATCAATCAATCAATCCCCAGTCCCAAAGTTCAGTGGGAAAAGAGGATACACATCCTGGACAGATTCCAGGCAGAAAGCTCACCTTCAACTAAGGTAACCTATGTGGCCTGTCTGGCAACCCACCAATCAGCAACTGGGGATTACTATTACTGTATGCTGGAGAAGCTCTCACCAGTAGGGTCACATAGCCCCAAAAACCATCAATCAGTTAATTAATGGGGGGGGGTATTGCACATCCAGAGGGACTTTTTTGCATCTTCCACAGTGTAACAGGTGTGCAAGCAGTTTGACAGTGAAAGCACAAGATGTACTTAGGCCCCTCTGCCAGACATGAAGTGAGGAAGCCGAATATGCACGTGCAGCCCTCACTCCACATCCTATAATCAAAGTGGCTCTTGTAGCTGGAATGGATCGCCACCCCGGCATAGAGGAATCTTCGATGACAGGTGAGAGTCATGAACAGATCATCTCCCTGCAATGTTCGAAGGCATTCGACAACTGATGCAGCTTGCAGCCACTGAACATTTGGCAACTCTTGTTTTGTTTTTTAAAGCATGCACAAATCTTGCCAGAAAGTATGTAGAAACTTAGTTTTGTAACTCTGGGCAAGATTCTACAATTGGAGGCAAGCAAGAAAGTGGACATTTGGAATGAAATATATGGGTCCCTGACAGCGCAAAGTTTGGGAACCACGTTGGAGCAGCGGGAATGAGTCTGCCAGCTCTGTCCAGACTAACTAGATCTTATGTTTGACTATTTCTTAGTTCGCGTCAGGGTTGACAGCCTGGACTTCCAGCTGTTTTGGTTTTAACGCTCGTCAGCCCCGGGTACCATGGCCAATAGCAAGGGATTGTGGGAGTTGAAGTCCAAAACATGTGGAAGCCACCAGGTCGCCCACTCTAGTTCGCAGCCCATAAATCGGAACACCCCTAAGAAAGAAAACTCGGCTTGTACCACCTCTACCTCCTCGCTGTAGCTCTCCTGGCCAAAGACACTTTCTGTGCCCATCTTTCCTCGGATGCGGACCTGCCGGGCTCTCTCGGTATCTCCCCTCGCAAAGGGAAAGGGAGCAGCAGGACACAGCCCAGGTTCAAGAAGGCGGCAGAGTTCTTGTCCGCTCGGCCACTACGCCTGTCAACTCTCTCCCCGCGTCATTTTGCAGAGGCAGCGGAGACACACACACACCCTCCCTCCCTCCCGCGGCCCCGAGAGAACCTTATCAGTCCGCCCTCTCCGGCAAGAGCGCGAGGTTCTCTGCTGGCAAGA